ACCAGATGTGTTCTGTTTCTCTGTTGAAGGAGGGTCTTGCTCTGTGTGTTGTGTAGTGTTTTTTGAGGGTACGCTTCAAGTTGGACTGACGACGTCAGCATCCCGGGGGAATCACAAATGTGGAGGGTAGGTCCACAAATGTTTACCCGTACCGCGGGTAATTGTGCCGCCGGCATACAGAACAGGAGCGTAATCTCTGTGGGGTACGGGATGTGCTACAGAACTCACAGAAGTGTAGGGTATTGTGGCACGACCGTCACAGAACCCACAGAAGTGTTAGGGTATTGTATACAGAACAAGAGGGTAATCTCTGTGGGGTACCGTGTGTGCTACAGAACTCACAGAAGTGTAGGGTACTGTGGTGCAACCGTCACAGAACTCACAGAAGTGTAGGGTATTGTGGCGCTACGGGCACATAACTCACAGAATTGTTCTGTAGGAAAAAACAAAGGGTAATTACCCCCGGTATAGATCTGTGGGTACCCTACAGAACCTAACCTTGCTTCTGGAGTCTGGAAATGTTTTTTCATTTGTCCAAATCCAAGATAAGTGGAGGCTGATCAACCGAAAGCGACCTTCCGGCTTGCGGAGCCCCAAAACATGAACATCGACACCGCCAGCGGTAGAGGACGTCATGGAGCAGCGACATACACGCGCGCTGGCAGGTCATCTGGTGCTGGGGGCGCGCGGTCGAAAGCTGACGGTAACAATCTGTGGTTCAATTATCATCTGGGTACATACAAAACAATCGCAATCCACGGCATGTAAGCGTCCTTCATAGATCCAATCTCCCCCACTGCAGGGTGGACAGCAGCAGCAGCAGGAGCAGTAGCTCTACTAAGCTGGCTTCGGACTGTACCTACCTACAGCATTTTCCGATCGATAAGGGTTTCAGGTCTGGGCGTGCCAACGCGCATGTCGCATCATTTCCTCTACCGCGATGCAGACAGCTACATGATTAGTTTGGAACTCCCCAAACGCAGGACCTGTTTCGTACCCGCCGCATCGCCTTGTTTTTGATTGAAGACAGGCGAAAAAAATGCCTTGGTTTCAGAGTTTCGAAGAGGGAACAAGACTCCGTGGATGCTATTCAGTTGACGGGAAAGGAAAACAACAGCTCTTGTGCGATGACGCATTTCTTTTGCTGCGCGCGACAACTTTTAACCCGCTCTTGCATGTCCAGTGGGTCGTTCCTGGGTGCTCGCGTTATCGTCAACGCCGGTATAATTCAAGACCGATTTGTGGCAAGGATATTCGTCACTCAGTACAGATTGGGGTGGGTACACCCCAAGAGCACTCCCGCCCACAGTGCAAGCTCAGCCCAGGATCTACTTCACAGGCACGACCTCAGTGTTCGAGATGACTGCCGGATGGTTCAGAGTGGCCTTGAGACCACGAGTGGCAAGAGAGAGGTGAAGGGAGGGGAAGCGACGAAGATACTGTGAAGACCATATTCGGGCAACATCGGAGGTAAGCAAAGCAGTTGAGACAACACACGAGCTCGCGGCACGTCCATTCATCAGATCTATCACCGCCAACGTGCGGTCCGACTGCTGTATGGTGCACTCAAGCACGTCTGCGGATCAAACCGTAGGCGGCCGTCCCTCCACCAGCATCAAGCTGTTTCACCCCAACCGACGAAAAAAGAGTGCTGCACGTTTGGGTATAACGGTTTTACCACGCAAGAATCCATGTAGTTATTTGGCTAAACTCCCGCACCACAAGACTTAAGGGGTTCGCTCTATTACAACTGGTGCAAAAAAAACTTTTGTCTAGCCTTGTGGTGATGACACAAGGTCACGCCGAGTAAAGGCTTTGTTTTTATGTTGTGTTCCGCAAATTTAGACAAGTGCATCGCCACTTGTTCTCTTTCTCTGTTCCACAGCGAAGTCGACTAACATGGCCAACTCTAAACACACAACTAACCGTCGAACTCAGCGGTAAACGGGACGCGAAATACAGAAGAGTACAAGTGAACCAGAGACGCAGCGCCCGCGCTTTTAACCCCCTGCAGTATCCGCCAGAACGCTTAGTCGTCTATGTTTCTATCTCGCAACCCGAACCTTATTTCCACCCGTACCGGCACCCCATTGCATTTTACCTGCCAAAAAAATAACCGTATCCGCATGACTGCTCTACGTGCCGCAGATATGTGTCAGGCACTCCTGCTTCGAAGCGCACCATGCCCTCGTTTTATGTCAGCAACGCTAGGACGACCGCAGCATTATCTTCTCGTGTCCTGTTGTGGGCTGCAGCCACAGCAAAACACGGCTACAGGCATTGCGTACGGTGAATCCCGCCGAAGCTGAAGGATTTCCACAAGCTGTCATCAAGCCTGGGGCAACGGGATGCAAAAACCGGGTGGTCCCCTCATGGACGCGACCATCAAAAAAATCATGACCAAAGTTGTACAGGCCAAAGGTGTTGGTTCCTCGGCCCTCCAACAGCCGAGGCTCGTTTTACCTCTGTAGTAGCGGCACGGGTAAGACATTGGCGAAGATTGGAGGGGGGAGGGGGGAAGAGGAGTTGGGAGCATATTCTTCATGGCGCATTTGCTGATGATTTATGGAACAATCCCAACCATGGCGGCAGCGGGTAGGGTGCAAATGGATGAATAAGATCACCGTCGCAGACATGTACATAAAGCGAGGTGTAGCACAAGTTCAATCGGTCCCGAACACCTCAAGAGAGGAGTCCCTGAAGATTATTCTTGACCAATGCTAAGATAGCTTAGATACACGTGTTCGTATATGGCGCTCTCAAAATCGAATATTGCTTCAAAGGCAACCAAGATAGTCTCGGGCAACAGGTTTCAATTCCATCGCGCTTTCACAAGCTGTGTATGGTCAGACACGAACGTGCACTGCCTTCGTGCATCGTAAGGCTCCTACCTGGTACACGGTGCCAAGAGGTGTCCTGAAAAAACGGCCACAGACATCCATGCGATGCAAGATCGGTTGGTACGTCCCGTCCCAAGAGCCGCGCCGTGAGGAGCAGAGTTCACCATGAAGAATATGCCAACCGAATCAATCACACAAAGTGGACCGGAGATACGGGTTGCACAAACAAGAGACGCCACGCCGACGACGGTAGGAAACGGGGGGTGCAAGATGTTTGTCAGGAACAGAACAGAGCGTTTGACGTGCGTTATCCTAGATCTAGTTGCTGGCAAGAATCAGTACGCACATCGCTTCTATTGCGGCTAGACTGGAGAGCTATCCCATATTTGTCCTCGTTCGCACTACAAGGAAGGCCAAGAGCCTGCCTTCTCAAGACCCCCCCACCAGCAAGATGGTCTGCGTCAACACGACAGGTTCCACGTTTTTCTCGAAAGCGCTTCGCGTATATATCCTGTCACAAGCAGAGCCTACTTTTCGCTGCAGGCAAGACCCGACTTTTTCCGTGGGTCCGAAGGGCCGTTGACGACTTATCTGGCTCTGCACCATGTCACAAACGCAACTTGTGGAAGCGCGTAACGGTTGTGAATAGTGGCCAAAACCGACCACTCCGCCTACTGGCAGGGCGTGGTTTACTGTGCACGAGCAGCGCGGGGATTGCTTGGTTTCGTATCTGGCCGGACGCGTTAAAATCGTTTCGGTTTCGTCGCGGTCGACGGGCCAACAATGCGCCAGCCAACATAAACCACGTCCTCGCAACATCTCAGAATTTACGCAACACCGAGAGAAGGGTTCGAGACAGATCGAGAGGGGGCACGGCCCGCAGATCATACCCTTTTTGTCGATGCCCCGGCTCTTGATAACATGACGGCATGTCTAAGATTCTGCGAAGTGCTGTTTGCCGAACGAAGTAGGGTCTCGTTCAAGAATTAGATTTATCACCCGGAACACAACATCGAGCAACGACGAGATTGAACGGTCTGGTCGTTTGACGCAGCGAGCGAAGAGTATCTTCATGTACAGCAGCACACCGTCAACCATCATCGCTTGTTATTTATTCGTGCACGGCAGAATGAGAAACAGGCCCTTCAAGTCAGTACCGGAACAACGTTTCCAACTCAGTTTCTAGTTTGCAAAAAAAAGCGATGCTCGAATCTCCGCGGCCACGATTCCCAAAGAAACAAGTAAATGTTTCATGCAACACGTGAACGAGGTCGTTGTTGGCGGCAAATAATATTAGTAAGAAGCGCCAGGTGTCCAACCTCATGCATGTAGGCTGAGCGGCAGGGTTTGGGACTAATGTGTTGTTTGTGCAAGCACCTCCCGCGCTTTAACATGAGTAGCACCCAACCCTAAACTCGCACTTCATATGTGTTGGAAGTATGGCATGAACCTCATGTGGCTGTGGGACTTGGAAGTGTCGTTTGTGCAAGTACCTCCCGCGCTTCCGAAAATACGCAGCACCCAACCCTACACTCGCACTTCATATGGGTACAAGTATGGCACGCATACAAACTACCAACTGCTTCCGATGGTGTTCAGAAACAACAGCCACGCAAGTAGACATGTACAACAGCACAAGATTCCAACGTTATTAGGAAAACTAAGAAACAGAAAGACTACCCGTCCGAGAAATGTGTAACCACAGCAGCCGAACGGCATGTGTTGAGTCCTTGTGAGTGAGGAACACCGGCTGGGCATCGAGCCTAATTCGAGTCGGTTTAACATGACCAACTTGCAGGGTCAGGAGATGATACGGCTCTATAACTGGATGACAGCAAAGCCACGACATGCGTGTTTACAGAAGTCAAAACACAACTAAATAGTAGGTCGCGCGGTTCTCTGCTGGACGTCATGCACGAGTGCCGACTGCAACTTATCGGTTGCTTTTGAAACAGCATCGTCAGCGTGCGAACATCCTTCGGACACAGCAAGTGTGAGTGCCACTACAATACTCGCAAGGGACAATCAAATAGAAGTAGGAACTGGAGCTCATCCTCTTCAGCCACATACTGTATGCACATGAAGGCACGTTGAATATGCAACATGCATGATGTTCCGACACGTACTCCGTCACGCGCGGGCTCCGCAACAAAAAAAACACAACCCGAAGGCAAGTGCTGCGCCCGAATCAATCCCACATGGCTCGAGCAGACAAGACGTTGTTGTCTACAACCGCACTAGTGAAGCACCCCAGGCATCGAACGTGTTCGTGCAACCGCACGACCGGAGTTAGGACGGGGAACAGTACTGCTACTCCATTAAGTCTTTCCCAAAAAACACCGAACAACGTACAGCAGCAGTGCCTCCCCCAATCCTATGTACATGAAAAGAAAAGAGGTGCGGGCAGCGAAGAGTGGTATGCAAGAGAGAGAAGACACACACAAAGAGACCGTAGGAGGGGCCAGGAAGAGATGGCGATACGTAAGACGGCAGCCGCTGTGCCGTTGTGGTAACAGGAACCTGATAACTTTTCCCGACCACAAAACCAAAACACATACTTAGCACACCCTATCCTCACCTGTTCTTGTAGTCGAACTCCGAGCCGAAGCCCTGCCCGTCGCCGGCCCCGTTGTAGCCACTCTTCTTCTCCGTGTACTTCATGTACGCCGCGTACGAGTCCTTGAGGGCCTTCGCGTCGCCCGCGCCGGCGGCCTGAACTACGCTCTTGGCCAGCGCCTCCGCCTCCGCGAACTTGGCCTTGTCGGTCGAGTACACGCCCGAGTTGAAGAGGCGGAAGCAGTTCTGCTCAGCCAAGATGGCGGCCGTGTCTCCCTTGTCCACCGCCCCCTTGAGCGCGGCGATGCGGTTGCCGTAGATGCCCCGCGCCCGGGCCTGGGTGGCAGGGGACTTGGCCCCGTCCGCGAAGGCGACGCCCGGCACGGCCGCCGCGGCGGCGACGGCGGCGGTGGCGCCGAAGAGGTTGCTGAGCGCCTGCGATCGGGTCATGGGCTCGCTCGACATGGCCAAAGAAGTGGAGGAGCTGCTGCGCGGAAGGAGTGCGAGCGAGGAAAAGAGTGGGGAGGGTCGCTCAGAAGGGGTGTAGCCTGTGAGCGTGGCGCTTGGGAGTTGCTGAGGTGGATTGATGCCAACAAACATGATCATGTGTGAGACTGTTCGTGGACATGCAGGTTGGCGTGTCCAAGGAAGGAGAGGGGTGGTGCCTAGAGGGGCCTCTATATTCAAGATGATACGTCAAGGCACGTATGCATGTATGAAGGAGAGCGGCAGAAACATCAACGCGGTATCAAGCGTAGCACAGCGTCGCCCTATCCTGTGCAAGACAGGCGTTGCCCTGCGTCTCCGTGAGCTACACTCGTTGCGCCCGAGAAGACATGGGCATAAGGGGTAACAGACGCATGAGCACCCACGCATCGAGAAGGCAAGCGATGGAGTCATCACGACATTTTTTCACCTCTCACCTGCTAGTCGTCCGGACGTTCGCCATGGGAACGACAAACGCGGAGGAGCTTCCCAGAAGAGCGAGAGCAACGCAGGCAGTCTTCATGGTGGTGATGGTGATGTGTTAACTTTGATACGGCGAGGGAGAGAGGTGTTGAAACGTTGATGAGGGAGGGTGATTGAACACGATATCATATCAGCCAGGAGGGGATATCTCGTCTTGTCCCCGGGGGTTTCTGCAGGAGGCACAACGCTTTCTCTGCCAATCCAAGAACAGAGGAGATCTGCACGCGGGCGATCGCGATCCGTTTCGTCGCGGGTGCTTGGTGCACTTCTCTTCACGGCCGTATCCTTTCATGCATTCACCACTTTTTCACCACTTTATCGGACAACACATCGTATCAGGAATAGAGCTCACGTCGAAGACATGACAGCTATGTACAAAAAAATAAAATAAACACGAAGTTTGCGTATGAAAATAAATGAAGCTGCATAGACTTTAGGTCTATAGACTACGTCCGCATGTCCGAAAGGATCCTACAGCGCAGAAGACTATTCTCTCGTCTTCTTCCGAATACCTGTCGCCCACATATCTACGCATCATGCATACTTGCTTGGGTGTCCTCTGTTTTTCGTGGTTGCTTCTTGCAATCTCCACGCAGATCACCACCCTCTCAGAAAAATTGCTTTCAGTAGGATATAAGGACGTGGGGATTGCCATATTCGGCTCGGCTAAAAAATCCCCGCCCCAGATTATTTTTTTTGTATTCACGTCAAATCAGCGCTCACGGCACTAGTGCCGTTTACTCCAACCCGTGGTCACACAGAAGAGCGCCTCTCTACCCTCCGCTCCTGCGGTACTTTGCCTTCGATTTTTAATGCGAGAAGAGTTCGTCAGCACTCTCTTCCCTCTGTGTACATACGAACTAGCGCTATCCACTAGGCCAGGAGCAGAGGCAAGAAGGGAAAAACTCACTTCGCATGAAAAGCTCGCTTTAAGCCGGGATTCGAACCCCAACCTGACCTCGAGAAGGTTTCGAGGTTACCAACTAGACCACCGGGGCGACCGGTACTGCAGAATGCCCCCGCTGGAAACAAAAAAAATGGCCGCCCAAAAACAACGTTGATAATCGCGGTTATTGATATACTTCTACCTGCGTAGACTAATCTAATGGTTAGCAGTCGAGTCAGAGAAACTGCACTGTCAGCATATTTCCGTCTGGTTTGTTTGTTGGTCCGTGTTTTGGTATTGCCACCCCCTTTCAAGAGTTTGCGACGGAAATGTTAAGACTTTACCTTGGAAACTGATGACACTGCTGTACTGCTGTAGTGTCACAATACCACAGCAGTGAGTTTCCAAGGGCTGACGGTTCATCCCTGAACATATCACCACGAGTGACGAGACAGCGGCAGCACGCCGTCAATGTAGCCACCAAATTTCTACCAATTGGAAGGGTGTTTTTGCATCAAACACCGCGTTGCTGCTAGTAAACATTTCGCGATTATGCTTCGAAAATACAAAAGAGCCATTTTCATTGACTTCGGGCCCTCCTCGTGGTCGATGCTTCCCGCCCGTCACAACCGTACAGGGGGGCACGGAGGTTTCTACCCCAAACATAGCGTTTATTTGTCGCACTGTTACAACAACCGCGCCTAGCTAGCCGTTACCAGAGGCACGCATGGCTGCGCACGCAAGCACTCAGAACCGCCCGTGCATCATGTCGAGCCAGATGTTTTGCGCTTGGAACTCCAGCCCCGCTAGCTCCTGCACCGCTGGCCTCAAAGACTTGACATGCTCGGTCATCCTCGCCTTGTCCTCACCGCCCGTCGCATCCCCCCTACCCTTCGCCCCGTACTTGACAGCACCGGCGGGGCTGGTGCCACCACTCTTACCACCACCACCCTGGAGGCCCTGGGGCAAGGCGAACCCAGGGCCTAGCTCGGCGATTGGCGCTTGCAGGAGGGCCTCCACCTCTTTGAGCAGACCAGGCTCGTCGTACCACACGGTGCAACCCCCTTTCGAGAGTGCTTCGCGGTTGGTGCAACCTTGTCCTCGATTCCGGCAGTTCTTGTGGTACCACACCTGGATGGCGTGGTCATGGAGGGGTGGGGGTATGACATTGTGCGCCAATCTCTCCGACGGTCAAGCATTTCCTGCTTGGGGGTGTTGCTGTCGGAACATATGCTCTCTGCTGATCGATTCCGCCCCATGTTCCTTCTGACCCAAGGCATCCATTGAAAGCATATCTCTGTCATTTCTCACAACCTTGTCTCGGCATGTCTCTGCGCCAACTGCTGCACGCTACAATGGGCGAGCGTGCTCAACCAAACCCGCTTCGATACCCGAATGAAAAACATGCTCTTATTTAATATACCAATCACTTAGAAGTATTTCGCATTTCTTTCGTAGAAAATCATCTCCTCGTGCACATGTTCGCATGTTTTCCTGCAGCAGCGCCTGCCTCGAGAGTGCCAATCGCTGTGTGCACGGTTCATTTCTCACTCCCCGCACCTTCTCCTTGCAGCCGTCCTGAGCCACAATGGACACCGCCAGCCCGAGACAATCCTGCCGCCCCACGCGGCCTATCCTGTGGATGTAGTTCTCGGGCACGTCAGGGAGAGTCATGTTGATCACGTACGGCAGCCCCTTGATGTCCACGCCCCTTGCCGCAACGTCGGTGCAGATCAGGAACCGGACATCCCCGTCCTTGAAGGCGTCAAGGTTCGCCTGGTGACAAGCATTAGCGTGTGGTATATCCCCGAGACTAGTCAGCGGGTAGGAGACCCAGAGTCAATCTTGAGGCTCGCGGCTGAAATCATGAGCGTTCGGATAGCTTGATTTTCACGAATGTGGTTCATTACGGATGACGGCGGGTCATTCCAGCTGGATCGATTGGGTCTATTTGGTCGCTAGGCCCTGTGTTTATCGCTGCATTCGAACAGCGGCAACAAATAGAACGTCCCGCCCCTGCGGAGCGTGGGGAACACAAGAGCACAACTTGCGGTAAATATGCGCGACATTTTCGGTCTCCACAAGCCGCTATCGGCCGTCACTGCTGTTGGACGACTTGTGTCGAGAGCATATGGTCTCCTCTCCCGCCCCTCTGTTCAGACACACACCCGTCTTTGCTGCATGGATCGCATGCCGGCCAACACGCAGCACGAATAGGCGTCCTGATCCCCGCTTTCTTGGTGGCCGGTGAAGCGCTTGCCGCCACCAGCTTGCGTTAGGAACTCCTCCAGAAGATCGCAGTCCAAGTTAGTTCTGCCAGGAATATGGAAAGAGAGTACGAACGGGCATCAGCGAGCGTTGAATCGGGATACGGGTGTTGGTATGGAATGAGCTGTGCCAGCAAAAAAGGCGCGATGCATTCCGTCGCCGTGGTGCCTATCAAGCGCAGTGAGCGCTGCATACTCCATCAAAGGCACTCCTCTTCCGACAAAAGTGGGTTTGGTTATCCCTTTGCCATTTGTTTCGTCTGGACACCCGACGACCCGCGTATGGTTGTCCGTCAAGCGGCCAGCGCGACCAACTCCTAACCAGAACACTGCCCGATGGAGACATACACGGTAAACAGCACCTCTTGCTGGTACCGCCATTACGGCTATACATGAATCGTTTTCAAGGAAAGCTGAGCGTGGAACCACTAGAGTGTCGCCGGACGGGTGCGCGTGTCTTAGACTTTATATCTCACCTGCAGAAAATGATAGCCCGGTCCATGCCCAGAGCCTCGACTACCCCTAGAAGAACCTGCATCCCCCGGCGGCGGGTGGGTCGCACCGTCGTCATCAACGTCACGAAACCGAAAGCCGTTATCTTTCTCGTTCGGGTCCTGACGCCATCGTGGTGTAGCGTTGCGAAGAATACGGTAACTAGCCCTCTAGGTTCTCTCGAGGCACAACCTCCCAACTCCACAAAGAATCAACAAAGCAGACCAACCGCACTTCGAGGTCGAGCAAAAGGAACGCGCAGGAAACCAACGCCCCAGCGAGAGCGCGAACAATAGTGAAGGTTCTGAGATCACCTTAAAGGAAAAACTAGACAACCCTTCGTGACATGGCGGCTGCATCAAGAAGTATCGTGCGGGTTGTGTAATGCTGCCACCATTGCGCCAACACACGCGACCGAAAAACACGCCCAACACACTCGATCAAGGATGATTGGAAAAAACAGGGATTCGATCGACTTGTGCTCCATAAGCCTAGGGAGTGGGCCCTCAGCCGCAGGAACCAAACCAATACCCTTTGACCGTAGGGAATTTCCCCCCCAAGTATCTCTGGCCGACTCTCTGGGCAACATAGGCGGCTGGGCAATAGACGTGCGTGTGTCGATTCCACGCACCTGCGGCTTCATCCGCTTGAGTTTCTCCGCCCTCTCCTCGTCCCTCCCCTCCGACCCCGCACACACCCCGTCTGTCCTCGGCTGCACCTTGGCCTTCGCCGGGACGGGTCCGACCTCGCCGTCCTTGTCGGGGTCGACTCTAACCACCACGTGGTGAACCGTCTGTGGAACTGTGTCTCGCCCCTTGAGATCCACCCAGGTGGGGCGGTCGCAGATGCTGTCGGCGAGCTTGGCGATCTCAGGCGAATGGAGGGTGGCGGAGAAGAAGCACACCTGGGGGGGTTCCGGCAATGTTGCGTGTTGACAGAGGAGGGGACGGTACGAGCAAACAACAAGCAGGACTTCGTAGTAGTGCCAAGGTCGGAGTGCTTGTCCAGCACACCGTGCTGCACTACGACGACCAAGTACACAGAGAGCGCGTGTTACCGACGGCTTATTTCTTGGTTTGAAAATGTTATTGTATCGCCGTAACCTTCTTGGGATGAGTCCGGGCACTTTTGGCGAGACCAATCTCTTCCCTCGTTACCTGTAGTCTCAAGTCCCCGACACCGTGCTGCGGCAACCGCTTGTAGATCTTGGTGAGCGTCTTGAGCTGATCCGTCTGCAGCAATCTGTCCGCCTCATCCAGGACCTGCGCGAAAAAAAATAAAAAATGATAGTTTTCCAGCCCAGCCGGGCAGCAGGATCATCATAGGAACGCATCACGCCGTCATGGAGAAGAGTCTTGAATGTACCACGTGATTCATGGACGCGGTTGTGGACCATCACATTTGTAGCAATCCTTGGTACTTCCGCTTGTCTTAGAAATACGGGAGGGCGGAAAACTAGCCACAGCCGGGCGGGGTAAGCATTCACAAGTAAAAGAGTTTTTCGCAGAATCCCACCGTGGGGCGTGCTCGCGACGGGATACGTGTTCCATCGGTTGTCGTCGACGACGCTAACCGGTCAACCAATGCAAATACCCGAGTGAAAGAAGAGGCCAGTCATAGAGACAAGGCACTCAACTCACTCCGAGGAAGAAGAATCAGAGAACAGATGAGAGGGGAAAAAAAAAGAAGCACTATAAAGATATTACCAAGACCTTGTATGACATACTTTATTAGGCCAACACGAGTCACAAAGACGCCAAAGGAGCGCGTACCAATCAGAGGCCAGGACTTAACAACATGCACCAACCCCTAGCCCCTTTCAGAGTCGGAGACCCCCTCCTATACCTGTCGCCAACTGAGCATTCACATGTCCGACAAACAAACGGGATAGGGCACGCGAAACACGAGCTCTCACCAGCAGCCTCACGAAGCGGGGGTTGACAAGGCCATTCTCCAAGAAGTCTAGCACCCGGCCGGGCGTCCCAACGACTACATCGCACGGGCTCCTCGCCAGCTTGGACGCATGTCGAAAGTCCGTGCCCCCGACCAACAGAGCGTGTTCCAAGCTCGGGGAGCTCAGATGCCGCTGGCAGAGGCAGGCGGCGAATGTTCCATGTCGTCAGGGTGACAAGGCGGCAAGCCGGCTTTTCAGATCGACGTCGGCTGTCTACAGCTCGCTGCATAGCACGTGGTAAGGCGGCTAAGTATAAAGGTGCTTTCAGCAGTGCAGTGCATAACAGCGACAGTAGTGCCGGGCAACAGGCGTCGGCGTCTACCTCTCTGCGACGCGAACCGGCACTTTGCTTGATAGCTTTGAGGTGCACCACACAATCATCGTCGCCAAGATTTAATCTCTTCCGGGTGGAAATTGGAACATGAGAGACCCGAAAAAAACGGTTTACGTCAGAGGGTGGCCGCCGAGATCTCATACCTTCGGACGGGTTTCTCAGGTGAGGCCTCAGTCGAAGCAAAGAGACACGTGCAAAGCCTGGAACACGACGCACACATAACTAACACCATAGTAGCACAACACGATACAACACAGCACAACACCTGATACCTTGAAGGCCTCCAGGCAGTCCGACACCTGCTCCGCCAACTCTCTCGCCGGCTCCAGAATGATCGCGACAGGGGTTCGGTTCCTTGCGTCCCCGGGGTCCCGCGGCGGTGCCTCCTCCTTTACCTCGACCACTGCGGCGTGCTCACGGGAAACCGAAGCCATGGGAGTGGCGTCGCCCGATCCAGCAAACGGGGCGGTGAAATCGAAGGACGCCTGCAGCAAGTAGCGTATTGATACCAACGAGTAGATGGGTGTGAGCCTTGGGCTGGCACCGAGTGAAGCGTGCTTTGCGTTGGGGTCATGGAGGTGTCTAGATCGTACGTCAGATCTCTCCAACGCCACAAACGCTGACCACTCTACATGCGCCTGCTACAGCAAGATCGATCGGGCGGCCAAAAGACGCTCGTTGCACACCATGTGGCAGACCGGCCTACGAACCTGCGCGCTTTTGAGTGCCACCGCAGGGAAGAAAGGCCCCTTGGCGCCAGGAGGAAGCTTGAAGGCAACTCCGAGATCTCTCCCGTTCTTGGAAAAAGAAATCTCGCCCTGGGTCACGTGCGCGGGCGTTGCCGTTCGCCAATGGGAACCGCACCAAGAGCACGAAAAAGGAGGGAGTGGAGGTCGAGATGCGCATACCGGGCGTTCAATGCGCCAATAATAGACAATATAATACCCGTCTCTCTCGCGGTGCAAGCTGCCCACCGTTTGTGGAAAGGAAAGCGCTGGTCACTGTGCGTTGACCGGAAGCACGGGCCGTCCATGATGTATCTACCCGTGCATGGTTGGCGATAAGCGACCGTGAGATCACATTGCCTCCCGTGCGGCATCGGCAGTGCAGCCGACTCTTCACAAAAGAACGCCATGAAGCAATGCACCATACCCCACCGTCAGATAATGAACGGTTGGCTATTCTCTCTCTCGTTGCCGTCATGCATTCAGCCTCGAGCACAGAGGAATGCACCAAGGCAAACACATGCACCAACCGCACATAGGTCCAGGTCTGCTGTGAACAGGACCCTTAACACCCCTTCGTCACGATGAGCATAGCATATCCCATGCAGCGCTGCCGGTACTGCTCAAAACAAACGTCGCCCATCCACGCCAACGTTCACCTTGACCAAATCAAGCCGACATCCCACCCTGTCACCCGTCGTGAAAGTTTCCCCGTACTTCTCGAAGCTCCCATTAGACTTCATGGCCGTGCCGCCGAAGCCGTAGCCGAAAGCGTCCGTGCCAAGGTTGAAGCTCGCGCGCTGCGTCGCCCAGCCAAACCGGAACAGGTTCCCAAAGTCCACCTTCACCTGAAAGATGGCAGATAAGTTGACAGCACGTTCGAAGCTGCATCACGTGTACGACACTGAGTACAAGGAGCCACGTCGTAACACGGTTTGCTAGGTTTGGTTCGACCATCGTCTTAGCTTGCGAGCATGTGCAGCTACCCTCCCACCCTTCCTCGCCGCCCGGCGTATTCGGGGCAAAAGCTCGTGTCAAAGTGGCGCTGTGTTCGGCGTTCACGCGGCGCTTGAGCTACCGAGGGAACGTGGCAAACGCCGCATGTCAAGCAAGGGCAACGATCGTTGCCACTTCCTAAAAGAAAAACCTTTGAAAATACACTACGGTGGCGAGACAAGTCTGTCTCAGCTTGCTTGAACAAATAATCCAGTTCTCGCAGGCTGCTGCTGCCTCAGGCAATGCAGACCAACGAACGATCGCAACGTCCGAGTTCCGGCTTCAGCGAAACAGCAAGTTATCAAACTGCTTTGTTCTTGTTGGTCGTCTCTACAGTAACAACTCAACCTTTCCGTAACGGAGCTGTTGAGCCTCGACGCCTCATCGCCGCAGAGCACCCGTAACTCCGACGACTGAATGTCTTGCTTAAGGCCGAAGAGGTGGGATCTATCGTGACGAATAGGCAAACCGATGTGCTGCGCAACAACGGTTTTCGTTGTTTGCTGATCCCCGAGGTTCTAAGCCGTTACCGTGCGCTTCAAACTCGTGAACCTCAAAAATGGCCATGGTGGGACGCGAGCGCTAATGGACACCGGGCAACATGTCCGTGTACTTCCGTACCTCGAAGCAATGGACGCCGCCTAGCACTCCAACTTCTCCCCTCGCGCCCGCCCATTTGGACTGCAAGCACTGGCATGACAACCCGTCGGCAGACACCACCATCTGGCCATCCTTGTCAGTCCTGCTTATTCGGCAAACACTACTGTTACCCTTGCCGTCACTCTGCTTCCTGGTGGGCCTGCTTGCAGCGCCGCCGGCCAAGCGACTCCGAAGGTCTTCTTGGACGATCTGCAACAGAGGTAGGCTGAAGGCGGCGGTCTTGCCGCTCCCCGTTTCCGCCGCTACCATGACATCTCCGCCGCCTAGGATAAGCGGAATGGCCTCGTCCTGCAAGGTGCCGACAGCAATTAGTGAGCGAAAGTAATGAAAATGGAACTGTACTGCTGTTGGAGGCAACAGCTTTTTCTCAACAATGCATCAGCCCGTGCCGAAAAGGGTGCCGGGAGGGTAAGTGCAGACCTTACTCCCTTGGGTTTTGCCGCATTCGCACTTATTTGGTGGAGTTAGATTGTCAAGCTGGGGCGGGCAGCGGCCCGTTTTACCTATCAACCAGAGATGTCTCAGAGATGTCTGGGGCGTACATTAACAGCACCAAACCAGGGAGGTACCTCGCAACGTTTTTTATCGTTTGAGGTCGAGTACGATCAACAGGGATGCTGTGCAGGGAGACAGCGGCCCTGAGGCTTTTTGTGCCAAATGCTGCTGTTGCAGATTATACCTGAACGTTCGTCGGCAGAAGATATCCAAGGTCCTCCGTAACAGCTCGAATGAGTTCGGGAGCAAGCCCCAGCGCTTCGAACCCACCAGCCATACTAATCACAAGCGAACCTACTCTCTACACCAGACACTGCTCCCGCAAGTGTGGGTTGCAGCTAGATGCGGAGAGCGGAGCGCGTGATGGCGAAAGGTTCACGGAAACGCCTTGGAAACCACAGATTGTGAACTCCCAGGAACCCGGGTGTAGTTACGCCGCACCTCGCACCTCGCAACACGGGACACGGGAGCCACGCACGGAGGCCAAGCTAAGCTGCAAGGGCCGCCGCATACGCTCTCTATATACGCTGTTGCAGTTGCCTGGGCATGCGGAGCCCTGCTTACAGCCACGAGAGGAGAAGAGTTGCGACTGGAAGGTTGGCTGGGATGGCCGTACTGCTGCCGTTCATGACCAGAGGCTGGGCCTTTCAAACGTCATGCATCAATGCTCGCGCCATGGGCGGCGCGAGGTTCCTTAGCTCCCGACAAGCTCTGACGGATCGAGTTCCCATCCCTCAGCAAGAAAGCCATTGCCCTCCTGAAGAGGAAGCCGGAAGAGAGCGCAGTGAAGCGGATCCCAGGGGCTTTTTTGAGCGAATAGGTCGACCAAAATACATCGCCGCGCCGATGGTCGAGCAGAGCGAAGCTGCATTTCGATACTTGGTTCGACGGCATGGCTGCGGTCTTGCATACACACAGATGCTGCACGCCGAAAAGTTCGCACCTGATAACGCTGGTGAGTCACCCCATACGCAGCAGTGGTTGGCACATGGACTTCTTCCAGCCACCACTACAAGTATTGGGCGAACATTGCACTACGGTATGCATAGCACTACCATGGTACTGACTGTAGCTAACAGCAGTCGGGGGGAGTCAACAACACCGGTTGGCGCTGTACAGCGCCGGTGAACAATTGCTGGGCACATACGCAGAGGAAGCGGAGGGCTCCATCATATCTGTCGTTGATTTTTATTGACTTGCCGACCCCTCGGGACCAGTTTATTTGAGTGTACCTTTTAGGGTAAGTTAGCCTGTGACCACGGGAATCGACCGCGTCCAGTGTTGGATCAGTACGGACATATGAAGGTTTGGGTAGAGAGAGTTCGGAACGGTTTTTAATGTGAAGACAACAACATCCTGGACCACCAATTCATTCTGTATATTGATTAGCGCCGGTAGATGCGCCAGGCACATGTGCATGCGGTCATCACACGTTGGACTTGACAATCTCGAACAGCGCGGTACTTGGAATTGTTGCATACCTCTGTGAGGCTAGTTTGTTTTTTTGCTGTGGCGGAATGGTTCCCGAACTAGACTCCTTGCAAGGTATATGCATCCACATAGGCTGTATGTATTCTTGCGGTGTTTCCGTTGCCCACTCCCTCGTAGCGCACCAGACTAGAGCAGTATCCCTCGTCCGAATACGTAAGTACCCGCCCACCATCGTTCGTGTACGCGTACCATCACCATTCTTACCGCCATCCTCCCCCTTCCTCCATGATGCTCGTGTATAACTATTATCTGAATTTCGACTAAATAAGTTTGTGCTGATCTTTCGCAGCACCCTACGTCCAACGTTACGTCTTGTCTCGCGTGCTGCGGCGCTTGTACTGCAGAGAAGTTTCGTCGACGGCGCTTTGATGGCGTAGACGACGAAGAGGATCGTCCGCTGATAGTCCAGTTCTGTGGCAACAACCCCGACACCGTGGTGAGTGGTAAACGCTCCTCCCCATTTCGAGGGTTTCCTCAACGTGTGCACCTGCGACCCGTAGCAAACCTGCGGCCTTCGAAAATATGACGCTCGTTGTAGTTGCTATGAATAGCGGTGAGGACGCAGGACAAGGCCGGCGCTAGCAAGAAGCAGCATCACAAGCAACGGTGCAGCCATGGTACGACTGACTATGGCCTTCGCCTTCCTACATAAATTTTGTTTATCAGGTACGAGCGGCGCGACACGTCGAACATCGGTGTGACGCCGTGGATTTGAACCTGGGGTGCCCGCAGAAGATAGCCAAGAAAGGGAACTACGGTGCCTACCTTCTCCCGAACCCGCAACTCTGCGAGGATATTGTTGCTGCGATGAGCAGGTTGGTTGTTGTACTGATTGCTGGGCACGACCAACGTGTCAAAGTCTCCTGGATTGATCGCATTGACACTTTGGGTTTCAGTTGCTTTTTGGACAGAAACGGTCATCTCCCGGTGCAAGGAGCTGCCACACCGAAGTACCGGCATATCTCAGCGGGCAGCGTCCAAGAGATTATCTCCGTACTTTGGTTACATTGGTCAACAAAACCAGGTTGTTTGATTGCCGGTGGCTACCCTCGTGCTGAGTGTTTTTCTATGGGAGGCATAACCCCTCTTTCTGAGGACCCTTCCCGCTTCATAGCAGCGGTATTCAGTGTAGCCAGATTCTTGCAGCGAAGCTCTACCCACCCTTCCTTCAATCTAATACTTCCCCGCGCACCTGCCATTGTTCGGTGTACTTCCAGAGAGCTATCGGTCCCTGTGACGGTCAAGATCAGGGCGCAGGACAAGGATTCGGACACGCTGGATCTCGCTCGGAGATTAGAGGGAGCTGGGGCTCAGTTGCTCACCGGTGCGGTCACATGCCGGATCCATGTAGAACCTTCTATGCAATCCCCGGCGGTATCACGCCCCTCTCCTGTTTGCAACGCCACTCCGAAAACGAGGGTGAACTGTCGGACAGAACACGCATAGCTTCGAACCCTCCCGCGTAGCATTATACGTAACAGGAAGGGGGGGTGCGGACTGGCTGCGGTTCCGTTGACCTCAGCGATGATTGGTTACCGCAATCACGAGCGTTGTCGTGCCTCGTCGCCAACCTCTTCTCAGGGCGCAAAGAAACCCGTTCTCCCCAAGCTGACGACCGCCTCTCATGTCCGCACTTGCTCCTCCCCCCCCCCCCCCC